AAAGTAAATCATAAGCAAATTTATAGCAATTTTCTAGGCAAATTTGCCTGGAATTGCCTACAGTTTAAGGGATAATACTTATATTCACACCTTTAACCCAAATATCTTGAGATTCACCAAGCTGATTTTGATAGTCTAACTATTATTAGAACCAAAAAAGTCTTCTCTACAATCTTACTTAAAGTTGAAAGAAAGATTTACTTATTAAAAACATCTTTAATTTTTAAAAAACTAACTTTAGCTTTAATTATTCTAACTTTAACCCTAAAGCCAATAAGTAAATCCTTCTTTTAACTCTAAATAACATTGTAGAGGGGATTTTTCTGGTTCTAATAGTGGTTAGATTATTAAAATTGGCCAAGATATTTGGGATTAAAGGTATGAATATAAGTATTATAGACTATAATACTTTGTGTAATAGTAAATTTGTAGATCTTTATATTCACGTCTTTAACCCCAAATATTTTGAGATCCACCAAGCTGATTTTGATGATCTAACTATCATTAGAACCAGAAAAGTCTTTTCTATAAGTTTACTTAAAGCTAGAAGAAATATTTACTTATTAGTTTTAGAGTTTGGATTAAAATTAAAGGTTAGAGTTAGTGTTAGGGTTAAAGGTTAGGGTTAGTATTAGGGTAATGAGTTTTTTATATTATTATCTAAAAATAGAAAATCTTGTATAACCATGGTGAAAATAGCAACTTCCTATATTTATTTTTTTGCTATTAAATAGAGAATGAGACTAACATAGCTATTCTGCCAAGTTCTAGGTAGAAAAAAAATTCAAAGTTAGTCTTCTGACAGGGCTAACAAAGTTTTTTGTTTTATTTATAAAGTAATACAACAGGTCACATCTAGGTACTTAAAAAGCAACTAGATAATACTGGATTTGCAATTTTAGATAGTATAACAGTTATATTGGAAGAGCGAAGAAGATTATAGACAAATAGTGCCAATTTGAACTCAACCTATATATGGAATTGGGGTTTATATAAGCAAAAGAAAATATAGATTTATTCTAAAACTAATTAATCTTAAGAATGAAAACTAATTTAAAATAATTTAATTAATAATAATAACTAAAAATGCATATATGAAAACAATGTATTAATACAAGAATAATAAATTAAAATAATTCAGAACTGATATCAAATGAGAGTAATACTTCTAAAAGCGAAGTATACAAGAAGTATGATTAATTGGTAATGATGTTGGATTATATAAATACTTCGAACTGTATATATAACTTAAAATAAAATGGGTCTTAAAAAATATTTTAATTATGATCCAAAGATAATATTAACGAATAATGATATCAAAGCGATATGCTATCGCTATTTTAATTCTAATATTTTAAAATCAGCTGATGCTAGTGATGCCAAAGGTGGTGGGGTTTCCTATTTTTACACGTCAAACTAATACTTTTCTTTGACTAAAAACTTCCAAACAGAATCATGTGACCAAGTTCTGAAGATTTACGAAAGGCTATTACACAAGAAATTCAAGTCTTAATATACCAATTGAAGTTACAAGTCAATTTTGTCTGTTGAATTAAGTCTCAAAAGGTTATTAAAGTTAAAGTAGAAATTACAATAGATAAGTATTTACTTTATTACTTTTTTACTAAACTATGAAAAGAGATATAGAACTTGTTCTACTTTATTAGTTTTTCAGCATTTTTATATATTTTACTCATTTACGCTAATAATTTATTATCTACACTATTCTTTTGATACTAACATTAAAATTTTGGCATCAACACTAAAAAATTGGCATCAATGCAAAATTAGATGAACTATGCCTCTAAGCCTTATGCAATTCCCAATTTGTATAACTAATTCATTATATGAAAATTAATATAATAAACATACTATATTGGGCATTGTTATCAAAATGGAATTTGGCGTATAACAACATAATAAATATAAAATAAAATAAAAATAAAATAAAATAAAATAAAATAAAAAAAATACACAGCTAACTCTTTCTGACAATTATTTGGACTATATTTTTTGAAAAACTTTTTAACTAAAAAACAGTATACTGCAAGAAAAATATAAGACATAAGAAAAGGGTGTAAAAAGAACTGCACTTGTCATTTAGAGATAGTTCTCATATGCTACCTGCCGACAAGCTTAGAGTTTATCACTTATAGCAGCATGGCACTTGTCATTTAAAGATAGTTCTCATACACTATCTGCCGACAAGCCCAGAGTTTATCACTCACTGAAAAAAACTTAGTACTGTGCAAACTTGTAGAACGTCTATTGATGTCTTTAGAACTTACACTTATTTGAATAAGTGCTAGTGGTCTCTTTTGTGCTTTTTGCTGTTTTCACCAAAAATTTGACAAAATAATGGGCATTTTAGCTCACCCTTTCCAAAAGATTAGCATTGTTTACACCTACCTAAATTGGACGAACTTAGTAGAATGCAACCATGCGTTTGTTTTGTTTATCAATACGGTGCTACGATATGAGGAAGAGATCATTATCCTGTTTAGGAGATACCCGAGTCGAGTCAGTGCCCAGAACAAGTCCCAAAGCTAAACCGAAGGTTTTACAATCGAGATATAGTAATTAGTTGCAATTATTATATAATTTTTATCTTTATGCCTAGCACAGGCTATAATAGTGTATCATGGCTACTTTCTTTTTTTTTCGCTTTTTTCATCTTTGTTCATTTATATTAGACTATTTTAGGAATTTTAGTTTGATTTTTGTTTTTTTTTATTGCCGTGAAACATTTTTTTTAAAATGTTTATGTCTTTTATAAATATGGCTTTACATTTTTACTTTTATGTACAAATAAGGGTTTTATTTGTGTTGTTGGGCTTAGGTGGAAAAAGTCTGAAAGAAGAGGAGGTAGTCATAATGGGTGGCAAGGTCTACTGTTGAGAGCTGGGTTATATCCAATTGCAGAAGAGGTTCAGAAGAAGAGAAATCTTGCTATAGCAGGTTGAATATAGGTATCAATTGAGATAACCAAGTTAGTTTTAACTTGTAATTTAGATAAACATTAGGTTTAATGCTATGGCACTTGTTATTTAGAGATAGTTCTCATATGCTATCTGCTAACAAGTTAAAAGTTTATTACTTATCTTTTTAAATGCAACTTAGTGTAAAATTTTACTAGTCTAGAAGACTCATACAAAGCCTAATAAAGTTAAAGCATAACTGTCGAATGTATAAAAAAATAATAAAATAAAAAAAATATATATATACAGTTGTTAAGTATAATTTTAATCCATAACATATGCCTTCTCTAAGGATTAAGCTCTTGTGAAATCTATAAGTAAAAGAACTTCACTTAATTCAGCTTGAGTCAGAGCTTGGGCTTCCGCTTTTAATATATTATAGTCTTTCTTCTATAACTATTAGAAAACATAAGAAGTAACATGTCACACAGTAAAGAGATAAGAAGAACTGCAAGATTGATATAAACAGTAAGTGCGATATGTAATAGTGATAATGTTTTGATACTTATGAGGTTCTAATTACTTAAGAAAGTCTTTAGCTTCTTTTTTTCAAGCTTTTTTATTTAGCAATATTCCTATAATATAATAAAGTAGTAACTAGCTAGGATGATTAATATTACCCAAAGAAAAATGAGTATAAGTAGCAATTAACTTTTCTTTCCAAGTTTTACCAGAAAGAGCTTTTACTTGATAGAAAATATTTTCAGTTTGTTAAAGATCTTCAAGAAATAAAGACATTTGTTGATGTATTTTTTCTTGTTCATTTGGATGTTTAACCTTATTAATAAGCAATGGATAAGTCTCTTGGCTGGAAGAATAGATAACTTCTTGGGTAGAGATAACATAGGTTCTTTTAATTTCAGCTCTTTCTATTTGGGCTTTTAAAGTTGTGAGTGTCTTTTTAATATACTTTGGAATTTCAAAGCCAGACATTTTTTTTTATTTTTAATTTTTTACTTTTGTATTTCTTGTTGTTTATTTATATATTCTAAGTTTACTTTAGAACTGCTATGGTTAAAGGAAGCTTAAGTTTTCTTTAAACAAGAATAGTATTTTAATAACCGGTTTCTATACACTTTCTTCTTGAGCACGTAACTATTTATTGTTTATAATTTATATAATCTATATAACAATACGTCATGGATATAATAAGGTCCCAGATTTCAGGGTTCTAATTTAGCGCTGTACAACATTTTCAGTTCAGTTCTATATAAAAAAACTAGATCGCTGATCTTATATAATTCAATCTTATTTTTTTTCTTTATAATACATCTTTTGCTTTTCTTGTGATTTTTTATTTTTATATTAGCTATTTGTCATACTTCTACAATTTTTCCCATTAAGGTTTCTACCCGACGGTAAACTTGTGTCTGTAGCACTTTCTCAGTTCCAGGCCTAGTTTGATAGATTATAAAATTTATCTCAATTAGAAGGATAGCTTCTCATTCATATAACAGGTAAAAAGGTATATACTCTGTGACATTGTAGATAGTGGTGCAATATGCAAAGAGGGCTGGAGCAATACATTCATTCTATTCTTTTTCGAACTAATTTACACACTTAGTTTAAATTCCACATAGAGTCTGGTTAAATCATTTCAACATTCTATTAGTTTGGAAATGATAAGCCATTAAGGTTCGATGATCAATGTTTAATTTCTTACAGATAGTATTTACCAAGATATTGCAAAAGTGTATGCTTTGGTCTGACAAGATTTCTTTAAAGCTTCCATATCAGAAAATTATATTCTTCAAGGTAAAAGCAGTGACATTTTCAGTGTCGGCCTTCTCTAAGACACGTGCCTCTAGCCACTTTGTAAGATACTCCATGGCAACAACAATGTATCGATTATTTTGTGAAGTAATAGAAAGAGATCCAGCAATATTAATTTCTATTCTGTCAAATAGTTTTCCTATTTTGATAGAATATAAGAGCTTGTAGGTATTGGGAGGTTTTTTTTCTGACACATATCACAGATATGAATATATTTTTTTATATCTTTGCCTATTTGGAGGCCAATAGTATCAGGCGATGATTCGTTGATAGGTGGCGTGAAATCTTAAATGCCCAGAAATAGGGTTATTGTAGAAGCTAAAAAGTATGATTTTAACTTTATCTTCTTTTATTACTCTTAATAGACATGCTAAATCTTTAGGATTTTTCTTATACAAGAAACCTTCTATAACTTTGTAATATCAAAGTCTATATTTTAGAACTTGGGTCTCCTTAGAGGTATAATAGAATAGAACTTTAGCACTTATAAGATAACATAGGTATAGAAAATATCTTTTCAAGTTTATACTCGCTAACTTGGTCTAATTCGGGTTATTTTACTAATTAAATAAGTTTTTAAACTTAAAGAGTAAGATTTAAATAAAATGCCAGAATACTGCATCAGCAAATTTAATAGGGCGTAATATTGCGCAATAATTTACGAAGTGTAAGAAAACCATAATATTACGTAATAACTTTCGCAATATTGCGAAATATATAATTACGAAATATTACGTAAGATAATTACGCAATATT